ACCTTTCCCCAGAGGTGACACAGAGAGAAAGTCTTCCACTAGCACTTGCACCTGATTTTGGCCTTTTAGCCTCCTCAGCTGTGGGAGAATAAATTCCTGTTCTTAAAGCCATTCATTTGTAGCATTTCTGTTATACCAGCACTACACAACCAAACAAGCTACCAGCTAACTGTAGCCTACTGAACAGTAACTACAACAACGCTAGAAATGACCACACATCACCTGGGCGGTGTTCTGCTCATGTTCTGCAGACGTAGACCACACGTGTGAGTGTTCAGCTTTGGAGTCCATCGCTCCTTCACCTGGCCTTCCGAGACAACAACCTGGAGGCGCACGGGCGGACACCGGTCATCTGTCTACCACATATGTGTCCATGAAGAACAAAACGGCCTCCGCAACAAGCCTGAAAAACAGAAAGGGACCAAGCCTTTTAATAGATGATTATATTTTAATAAATTATAGCTTCAACCTCAAGAACAAAAATGCAAAAACATAAAACACCGACGAAACACACATCATTCCTCTAGTTCCTGAATGCTTCCTCCTCCCCACTACCATGACCCAGTCCTACCTTACAAATCTGGCTAGACCGGAGAACACACATTGGTACAGATCAGAGCTCTTGACATATGGAATTCAGGACAGATAAACCCTCAGGAACAGTAGTGGGTATAGCGATATTACGAGAGGCGGGGGCCATTAAGGGAGGAGGAAGGGAGAGAAAAGGAGAACCCATCACAAGGTTGGATATATAGCCCCCCCCAAAAAAAAAGTGTACAAATAACAGAAATGTGGGTCAAGGAAGATAACAGGACAGTGTAAGATACGAAATAATAACAAGATATAATTGATCAAGGATTCACAAGGGTGGGAGGTTTGGGGGCAGAGGAAAAAAGAGGAGCTTATACCAAGGGCTCAAGTAGAAAATGTTTTGGAAATGATGATGGCAACATATGTACAAATATGCTCGATACAATTGATGTATAGAATGTTATAAGAGCTGTAAAAGCCCCCCAATAAAATTATTTTAATGCAAAAAGATTCAATTATGTGTAATAATAATACAATGGTATCACATGTTGCTATGTACTATGTTTGTCTCTGTGTTTGTACAAAATGCAATCTTTTTCTTCCAAACTATTTTATTAGGAGCTGATACAGACATAGTTCAATCACATTAAGCAGTATTGTACAATCGATACCAAAATTTTCTTCCTGCTTTAACTCCTTGATGTTCCCTTTACCCCCCACCCCACCTCTTCCACCGTACACCCCAGGACCCCTTATTCTAATTGTTGTCTCTATAGATTGATCTCTCCTGGGTTTTATATTCCAAAAAAATACATAACAAAGATTCAAGAAGGCAATCCATCATGACAAAATACAACAGAGACAAACCCCAATATCGGGGATGGGGGGTGGCGGAGACAACAGGAAATATTAAAAAACAGATTAATCACAAAGTATATCAGAAGGGGCGATCAAGTGCCTGACAAGGTTTTAAGTATTCAAGTAAGATTTATCATTTTAATCTACTGCAGTCATCTCCACAATACTGTCGATAACCAAGTAATTTCTACTGGAGGCTTATTCCCTACATGATCCTACACGTGTATTCTGTGCTTCTACTGTCATCTTTAGTCTTCTTCACACAATGTAAGCTCTGACACTAGTCCCTCCTTTGGATTTGGATTATATAGTTTATAAATCCTTGGATCATGGATGTTGGTGTGCTTCTTCTATGCGGACTTAGTTGATGTCTCACTTAGATGGCTGCTTGTTTGAGAACAAGCCTAAAATGCAATCTTCATCAAAAATTTGATCGGGGGATGGGGGGGGAATGCAGCAAAATAAACCATTAGTTACTAGAAGAAAAGAAGTAATAAATATTATGGGAGAAATAAATGAATCTGAAGTATTTATAAAAACCATAGAAAAAAATTTAAATAAATAAAGACTATAGAAAAAAATCAGTAAAACAAGAAGTTGGTTCTTTGACAAGATTAACAAAATTGGTAAACCACTGGAAAAACTAACCAAAGGAAAGAAGGGGTAAAAACAAATTTTATAAATAAGAAGTGAAACAAATATTACAACAGACCCAAATGACATAAAAATATAACCACACAGTATTATGAGAAATTGTATTCCAAAGCATTTGAAAATCTAGATAAATGGATAAACTTCTTTAAATGTATTATTCACCTAAATTACGACAGAATGATGTAGAAAATCTCTACAAGCCTAAAACACGAGATGAAATGAATCTAGTCATTAAAAATCTCACAACATCAAAAATTCCAAGACTAGATGGTTTTACTAGGAAATTCTAACAAGCATTTAGAGAAGAGTTAATACCAAATTTATATAAACTACTCCACAATATACAAATAGACTATATACTACCAAACTAATTTATGAAGCAACTAGAACTTTTGATACCTAACCCAGGCAAAGACATCACCAGAATTGAAAATTACAGACCAATATCCCTATTGAATATAGATGCCAATATTTTCAATAAAATACTAGTCAGCAGAATTCAACTAAGCATCATAAAAATAATAATTTAAAAAAACACAATCAAGTGGGGTTCACACCAAATATTCAAGGATGGTTTAGCATTAGAAAAATAATCAATGTAATTTATTACATGAACAAAACAAAGGAGAAGAGCCATATGATTATATCATTCAATACAGAAAAGGCATTTGATAAAATTCAACATCCATTCCTGATAAAAACACTCAACAAAATAAGTATAGAGGATAATTTCTCAATATAGTAACAGCTATATATGTGAGACCAATAGCCTACATCTCACTGAATGGAGAGAAGATAAAATCATTTCCTCTTCAAATGGTTGCCTTTTATTACCACTTTTATTTAATTCTGCAAATTTTAGCTAGAACCATAAGACATCAAAAGGAAATTAAACTTTTGTTATATGTTTTTCTGTATATGAAACCCAAGATTGATGAACCTCAAGAGACAGCAAGTAGAATATGAGTTCCTGGTAAATACAAGGGGTGGGGTGGTAGTGGTAAAGGGGAGCTGATATCAAGGAATTCAAAAAAGAAGAGAATGTTTTGAAACTGATTTTGGTAGCAATTGTATGCCTGATGTGATTGAACTATGGAATGATATGCTATATAAATGAACTGGGGGGGGAGGAAGTTCTGTCTAAATATTGTAGATTCATACATACATACATATGCATATGATTTTTTAATTCAAATAAATCTAATTTTTCTATTCAACAAAATTAAAGGTACCACATAGACACAGAAGAAATAAAAATCTCTTTTATTTGCAGACAACATAATCCTATATATCAGCAGTTCTCAACCTGAGTTGTACCAAAATTACAGTTATGAAGTAGCAAATAAAATATGTTTATGGTTTGGAAGGGGTATCACCACAACATGAGGAACTGTATTAAAGGGTCGTGGCATTAGGAAGGTTGAGGACCACTGCTATATATAGAAAAACTCCAAAGATTCAATTAAACAATTGCTCAAGCTAATTGAAAAATTTGGCAGCATAGCAGGCTATAAAATCAACATACATAAATCAGTTGAATACTTGTATATTAAGCATGATAGTACCAAAAGGATATGAAAAGAATAATACCATTTACATTAATTATACAAAAAATAAAATATTTGAGAATAAACTTTACCAGAGAAACAAAAGACTTACATAGAGAAAACTACAAAATACTCCTTCAACAAACCAAAAGGAACTTATACAAATATAACAAGTTACCATGTTCCTGGATAGGTAGGCTAAATAAATATTGTGAAATGTCAATATTACCCAAAATACTTTATAAATTCAATGCAAATCTAATCCAAATTCACCAAAAATTTTCCAAAGAAATAGAAAAAGGAATTACCAACTTTATATGGAAATTAAAGAAACCTAGGATAAATAAAACACTACTGAAAAATAAAAACAAAGTAGGAGGCTTTTCACTCCCAGACCTTGAAACCCACTATATACCACAATAAGCAAAATAGCCTGGTACTGATATGATAATAGATATAGAGACCAATAGACTAGAACTGAAAACCAAGGAAAACAATTTTTGATGAAGGACTGAAACATTAAATGGGCAAGAGATAGCCTTTTCAACAAATGGTACTGGAAAAACTGAATCTTCACCTGCAAAAGAATGAAACAAAACCCATACCTCACACCATGTACAAAACCAAACTCAAGATGGATCAAAGATCTAAATATAAATCACACAATTATTAAGACCACCAATGAAAAAATTGGGACAAACTTAATAACTCTGGTAAGAGGCATAAATACACTTCCAAACATAAGGAGACATATTTGCACTACAGAAGACAAAATAAAGATCTGGCCCCTATGAAAACCATGACATTTATGCACAACAAAAGACTTCATCAAAAGAATCAACAGAGAATCCACAGATTGGGGGGGAAAAACTAGAGAACATTATGCTTAGCAAACTCAGTCAATTTTACAAAGATAAATATTTAATATCACCAATGTTATAAGGAAAAACAAAGAAGAAATGTGGCTTATACACCAATACACAAGACTCTGATGACTATGCGGAGGTCAGGGATGGGGCTGGGAGCAAGACAGGCAAAAAATATGGAGGGTCTAACAAGAAAAGAAATTTTTTAATAAATAAAAAAGAAAACCTCCAGATTCCTTACCCCTCGGATCTAAATAGTAGTCTGAGTGGCTGAAAAAAGAGGAAAAGTAAAGTGAAGTGGACTTGGAGTCTTTAGTGACAAACAAGCTAAATTCAAATATATGAAGAAGAAAAGAAATTCGTAGGGTAGTTATCTTGGTTTCTGATGGGAAGATGGATGTTCACAGATGATAAAGGCAAGTGGCAGATAAACCCTCAGGAACAGTAATAGGAGTAGAGATATCATGAGGGTACAGGGCTGGTGGGGATGGGGGGTTGGGGAGAAAATGGGAACCCATCACAAGGTTGGATATATAGCCCACTCCCCAGGGGGACGAATAACAGAAATGTGGGTGAAGGGAGACAGTGTAACACACGCAATAACAACAATAATATATAATTGACCAAGGGTGGGAAGGTGGAGGAGGGAGGGGAAAAAAGAGGACCTGATACTAAGGGCTCAAGTAGAAAGAAATGTTTTGGAAATGTTGATGTCAACATATGTACAAGTGTGTTTAATACAATTGAATGATGGATTTTTATAAGATTTTTAAGAGCCTCCCAATAAAATGACTAATAAAAATAATAATAAAGGCAAGTAGCTGCTGGGCCTGGGGACTCAGGACCATACCCTGGAGTACATTAGGTCAATTGGCATAATGTAAGTCCACGAAGACAATGTTCTGC